TGAAAAACTGGAAAACGAAATTTTGTCGAGCCGCTGCCTTCAACGGGAAAAGTCCGCAGTCCCTTTTTTTACGAATCTGTGAGCTGATCACACATAGACCAGCACACCTTGTAAGGTGTGGACAGAATATGTTTGGCGGAAGTTAGAATGAGAAGTTGTCGGTCGCCTAAGCTAAATGTTAAGGGTGGCGACTGGAGCAGTTTCTTCCATCAGTTCGAAGCTGTTGCTTCACAGTCCACCACAAATGTAACACGTCCATCTATCGTCGATGACAATGTGCCTCTGCCAATTATCCGTAGGTTTCGTGATTTTTCGCACACTGTAGACTAGCTGTAGTGTGTAGATAATCCTTTAAGAACCACTTTTTTGGAAAGAGTAGGTACAGTTGCAGGTGGCCATCATTTTGACATCGCCTATCAGGAAACAGTGGATGAGCATGTAAAATGTCAGGTTAGTTGGAAGATAAATTTTACGTCTATACTAGAACTCTTGGGTTTTTTTGAGGCTGAAGTTGCTTGGGGCTTCCTTTTTCTCCATCTACTTCTCCTAAATTTTTTATTTATTGAAGGTGTGTGGGATGCTTCTTCGTCGGACAATGTTTGCGGCACATGTTCGACAGCGTCATCCAGAAATGTGCCCTCCTTCATTGTCAACCGATGACGATTCCGGACGACATTCTGGTCTAGAGTCCCCTGATATCAGTCGAAATCCGAAGTAAGATAATTTCGTGAAATTTTCGGTAAAGCTCTTTTGCACTTTAGTTTCCCCTTCTCACCAAAGCTCATGTCTCCTCCAATACCCAAAGAGCCTATAAAGCTGACGATAAGTCTGGTGAGATTGACGTTTTATACTTATAGTGTATCCTTTACCACTCCTTCCAGAAGGGGCATCGCAAACACAAGCGCAGGAAGACAAAACGCGAACGCCGCGGGGAAGACGCAACAGTATCCTCGATGGAAGAAGAACAGCATTCTCCAGACGCGCATGATTCGAAGAATGAAGATAGATTTTTCTGGCCTGATGACGAACAGCCAGGTCCATCTTCTCAAACAAGCACACCGAATTTTTTGGGGCATGGCTTATCCCCTTCGGGTCGCTTGAAAGTATGTATCATCTATTCAGCATTCTTCTGCCTTTCCTAGATGACCTATGATGGAGTGCTTTTAGGTACCAGAAAGCCCTGAAAGCGTTGAAGATGTAGTCATGCACACTTCGCCTCGGACCCATGCGCGAGCTAGACAAGAAGCATCGTCAGACGAGGACACGAAGAAAAGAAGAAAGAGGAAGAGCAAACGAAAGACTAGAAGGTATGCTGTTGTTTCGTTTCTGCTCTCGTTTTATTCATCGTTCTCCATCGCGTCATTTCTAATCAAAATTCTGTTGTAGAAAGGATCGCGATAACAGCACAACTCCTGTCACACCGCGATCGCGAGTTTTGCCGGCTGTGGAGCCCCTTCGACTTGCTATCACTCCAGAAGGTGCACGTGTGATAGGTGAGTTGATAAATTCCTTCATTCGGTAGTACCGTATCGTTGAACTCGTTCTTGCTTTGGAGTTAAATCTGAAATGTGGAGGCACTTCTTTGAATGGGATTCAGATAGAACTTTTCGCGGAGAGAGCAGAATGCGGGTAACCGGTTTGCCTTTGCTCATAATCAGGTGCCAGACTTATCCGTTTCAACCGATTCATCCATTCCACCTCGCTGTTGGTTAGATCAAGTAATTATCCAGTAGTGAGCGAACAATCGGTTTAACCGGATAAGTCTGGCGCGCCCCATACATCCGTTGTTTTGGAAAAGTCAGTGCTTGAATTTCTGCTTTCCTTTGCTGGTTTTTTTGATTACTATAACGACACTTAAAGGCAGTATCCCGGCAAAAGTCGAGATTCTGTGCTTACTCGGCTCTATTCGCTATGCTGAGTTCGTAAACTTACAGTCGAGAGTGCGAAAACGGTGAAAAAGGGCTCTAACGCAGGAGAGGAATTAGTAGGCGGCGGGGTTTCTCCACAGTGAATTCGCGCTCCTAGCTTCTGTGTGATCTTCTCGGTTTTGATTTCAAGTCATCCGTTCGAGCGTGGCCGGTGGCGATGTTAGGGTGGCTAGTGGAATCGAAAAGATCGCTCCGGAAGCTGGGAGCGTAAATTTTGAGTGGGGAAGGCTCCATCCACCTGCTGATTTCCCTAGTTAGAGCCCTTTTCGCGTTCTTCAGTTTGTCGGATTATAGCGAGTATAGCGAGTAAGTCCGGAGAGCAAGCTCAAAATCTTTTGCCCAGACACTGCCTTCAGCTACCACAAAATTCTCTATTGGTCTATTCAGAAACTCCTCGAGATCGTCGCTCTCCGGCTGCAACCTGCCGCCAAGCCAGTCAAACAGAGCGAAATCGTCCGGAGACTCGTTCCTTCACTCACTCTCAGCAGACATCCTCAAGAAGCGCTTTTACGGAGATACAGTCCTTTCCTGCCTCATCCCACGTCCTTCCAACTCCGCAATCGTTCTCTCATCTCAGCGCTCAGCCTGCGTCAACTAGCGGAACAGCGTGTGAAGCAAAAGAAGAACGGATCAAAACGCTCACTGTAGGGCAGCCAGCGAGAAAAGCGGGGAGAGGAGATGCTGTAGAATCACTGTTGCCGTCGAGTCCTCCAGTTGCTACTGTACTCACACCGTCATCATGGGTTTATTCACAATCTCAGATCACTACAGAAATTCCCATATTGCCTACCTACAACACACGATCTGTGCGTAAAGCCGCAGTCGAAAGTGCTTCCTTTCGTCCTGAAGCGATCGCATTTGATCCGTTTATCAAGCCGAGTGCGCTCGTGGAGCCGGAAGGTGTAAGACCTGCCGTTAGTGATAGTGCATTTCTAGAAGAAGCTGCTGATCCTCACTCGACTGAAAATCGCAGGCCTATTCTGCCACAGAGGAAAACCAGGCAACCGTCTGGGTCTCAGGAAGCATCCTGGGAGCCACTTGGCATAAAGAGCCCAACCTATGGTGTCGTCTTACCCGTGGCTCCGAGGCAAGATAATGATGCAGACGATGCAACGGTGGCGTTCCTCACTTCGTCACCCGAACTACTGTCTGAAGATGACTCTTGTCCTATAAAGGAGGAAGTCGAAGAATCACAGAGCATGATAGGAGCATCACCTTTGAGGATGTACCGTCAAAAAATTCGCTCTGGGCACAGCGCTACTTCTGAGAGCACGGACACCGATCAGAGGACAATAATTGACGTAGAAGAAGACCAAGCGGAGCGTCGGTCAAGCGATCGTGACTCGGAAATTCGATCATTGACGAAAAAATTGGCTGCGTTGTCGCAAGAACAACTGGAGCAGCGCAAGTTGTCCGTGGATCTGTCGAGATCGGTCTCCGAAAATGTGAACGAATCTGCAGTGGCCGTCTTGGAGGCCTCACCAGTTCTGCACATTGAAACCGTAGAGACTACATTGCCATACATTCCGATGCAACGAAAGGAAGTGGAAGGTCTAGACGAACAACAGGACAGAGAAGAGCTGGTTTTTACGCCCGACGACCAACATATCCCCGTACTAGACGGAACCTTTGACGCTATTTTTGGATCCGGACCTTTGGAGTACAGCCAGTCTGAACTATCCAGAGAAGTGTTGGAACATTCTGCTACTGATCAAGCCAGTTTGCAACGAATCTACGAGGAAGGTGTGGAAGAGCAAGAGCGCTTTGTGCCATCGCAACAGCTAGCCGCTAGCGTTAGTGGTTTATCCATCGGCAGCGAGAAGAGCGAGATGCCCATAAATGTCTTGGTTACTACAAGAAGTGAAGGTCGAGAAGTTTCTGCCGGCGCTAGTGATCATGAGCGCACGTTGTCACCGATCTCCTTGATTGGTTCGGGCGCGAAATTGGCCAAATACAGAGAAGAGGAAGAAATAAGTTCTTATGGAGAAGATTATTCGGCAGACGATGATGAGCTTGTAGATCTGCATGAGAGCTCCATTTCTAATTACCGCGAGCTGGAACAGCAAACAGAATATGAGCAGAGCCTAAGACAGCAACCGCCATCTTCAGTTACACTTACGGAAGGACCCGCTTTTTCAACGTTAGAAAATGTAGACGAGATCGCGCCTCAGATTACCATGCAAGAGGCACCGCAGACATTGCAGTGGGATGATATACCTGCCGTGCCCTTTCACCCGGGTCCTGCTGAGCTGAGAGTCCAAACTGCTTTTGAAGGACCATCCACATCTCAGCAGGTTCTGCAGCACTCTGAGCCTCTCCCGCAAAGACTATCCTCTCAAAGACCGTCGATGCCCAACACCCTGACTTATGGAGCGACCCCAGTTGTCCCAGCACACCAAGCACCACCTCCACCTCATTCATTTCCTTTGCAAGGAGGCCAGGGTCAAAAAAGTGATTCCCAGCAGTGGTCCCAGTTACACTCTTTACGGATCACTCAGAATGCGAATGTGCAGGGTCGGGAGGTAACGATTGTGACTGATCAGCAACAGATTTCGCTCGACCAGGGACAGCAGAAAATACGATTTCACTCTGGGCAAACTCAGTTCCAACCTTACAAGCCTCGCCAAACTGCGGTATCTGGAATTTCTCAGTCGTACATACAGCCTGATACTTTCGCTTTTCCCCAGTCCCACCCATATCCATATGAACTGCAATCCCAGCAGCCAACCCCTTTGGAGCAAGCATCGCAGTGGATACCATCATTTAGTACAGGAACACAAGTACGTAGACCGGCGGAGTTGATGGAAGCGGAGATGAAAGCTATGCGTTACATTTACCTGATGAACGAACAACGTCATGCAAAGAAAACTCTGGCTGAACAAGACGAAAAGCTGTCGAAGATTGCCGAAGAAAAGACCAATAACTTAATTTTGCTAACCGAATTACCGCCCATAATCATCGAACCAACGGTGATCCCAGAAGGAGTGTCCAGATTCAGAATGCAGGTTGGATCTTTCTTTCAAGGCAATGGCTTTGCAAAATGGGCCCCTGTCAGTTGGTGATATTAGGTTTAGACACCCCAAGCATGCGATAGCCTCCACCCCACTTTCAGTCTGGTTTCTGAATATGGCTTCGGAAGCCCACCAATCCCGCCCACTTCCCTTGAATGGGCATCAATGGTGGGTTTTTGAATCTCGTTTTCAAGACATGGCGCATGAATTGGAGGGGGAGTGGGAGGTGAGGCCACGGTGGCAACATTCTTTCTAGGCTTCTTGAAAACGAATTCCCTTTCGACCTTCGTGAAATTCTACGAAGACCCCTTTGACTCTCAGGCCTAAAACGTGAAGAACCCTAAGAAACTAAACGTCGATTAAAAACGTCGCAATTTTTTGGTGTCTTTGGGCTCAAAAAACGATATACCCTTATGTTTTTTCGCCTCAAAAACGAAGTCCACCCTGATTCATACGATCTGGGGCGGGCCGTGGTTGAGGCTACTTGTGCTTGCGAGGAGTCTACTACCTAGCATCAGCAAAACTGAAAGGTTCCATTTTTCCAGCCTGCCTTTGATGCTTGATTTTGCGCATAAACTTT